GTTTTTTCTAAAATAGATAGTTGCAGTGTGTGCCTAAGGATAGCATCAGTGAAGTCTTTGTTAGGTAAAAGGATGGAAGTGAATGTTGCCTCAAAATACAGATTCTATAAAATGACTCATTCAAGATAGTGAAGAAAGTTTCTCTGGGTAGATGGCTTGTGAACAGCGGTTATAAGAAGGAGCTTCTAACTTCACCTTTGATTAAATCTGTGAAATGTGCCACAAACTTTTGTACTGTCTTAAACTCAATCAACTGAAAAATTATAGCCTCTTCTGAATATGTTACATTTATCATCACTAGGATCAGTAAGCTGCTGCAGAGATGTGTATGGCAACAGTATGGAACATTGAGTTGGATGGGTTTTGCTGAGCTGTATATATTTTCCTGCATACAGTTCAGGGTCCTCCTGCTGCCCTTACATGCTTCAAATATGCACCAATTAGTTTCTTTTCACTGTGATCAAATCATAACCCTGGGGACTATTTCCCCCTCATCTCTTTCTAAGTCTAACTCTTTGAGCACTTCTTAGCTTTAGCACAAAAACGCTACCTCTTAAGGAGGTCATCAGCTAGTCAGTCTTTCTGGTGAATTGACTAATCGTTAGGGGGCAAACTTCTGGTCAGTTACACTCTGGGGTTTTATGGTTTCTGGGCACCAATGGATCTTTTATTCATCTCTAAAATGAAATTTTTAAAATGGTTTGATTTTTGGTTTTGTTTGTTGTTGCTTTTGATTTGAATGTATAATAATTGCTAATGGTTAGAGTGCTGAAAAGCAGGTATCCAGGTACATTTGATTTTATTGCACTGTCTCAGGTTTCCACTGAGTAGTGACCACATAAAATGAAGTTTAGGATTTAAAACTTCAGCACCAAGAGCCTACTACTCTATGGAAATGAAACTGTGCATACCAGTTATTTGGAAAGCTGCTCAATTTAATTCGGTAGTAACCATCCTGTGATAGAATCCGGGGAAAATCCTAAATCCATAGACAGTAAGCTGAGAGAATTAGCAGGTGAGCCTTCGGATACTCTCAGGAGTTCGGCTTTAAGAACTTTAAATTTATAGCACAGATAAAGTAGAAAGGGGTAAGTAAAGACCTTTTAGATTTAAGGGAAACAAGTTTGTCGGTAGGTACGTGGGGTGAAGATTTTTATTTTTGTGAGCAGTCAGGTTCCTGAAGAAATTGGTGTTTTCAGTTCTTAGACCTCATATCTATAAAATCTAATACGTCTGCTTGAAATTCAGAGAGGCATGAAATTCCAAATGAGGTGAAGTGTAAAGCTGACTATAATCAACTTGCGGGGATAGCTAATTTATGGCATTTTATTTAGAATCTTCTGATGATGGCCAAAGAAGGTGGCTTATTGCTGTGGTATAGGAAGTTAATCTTTAATGTCACCTATCTCTCCTGTTGGGAGCTGGGAATGAGGGTCCACACATAGTGTGTACATAGTATGTGGAGTTACATGTGTCATTTCCAAGTCATAGCATAGGTGATTTTTTTGGGTGTACATTCAATGCCAAAAAAAAGAACTAGAGCCACAAAGCAAAGAAAAGCATTACAAAGAGAAAAACATTAAACTATTATGATTCTGGGTCTTTATTCTATAGTAGAGGAGGCCTTTTGACTCTCCTCGGGTATATATCTAAATCAGGTAAACTAAATGAACTAGAAGCTATAAAATCTCCCTCTTTAGAGATTGAGTTGAAATGTTTAGCAGCTGATTGTTACAGTAAGAAAATACTAAAAGCCATATTTCAAGTAGATGTTGACTTTGGCCCTTTATAAAGACCAGGAAGTGGCTGTTCTGTCTTGGGAGATGAGGCGCAGGATATTATATATCTCTTGTCGGATGCACCCAGAGCACAATGAAGAACAGACACCACACTGTACTGCACAGTGTAACAATTTCTTAGCTGTGGGGAGACGCTTGGGGGCTGGGAAGAGATTGAATAGTGAGTCTCTTTCCTAAGTTCACGTTTACCAAAAAATTAAAAAGAGATGCCATGTTTTGTGAACGACAGATACAAATCACAGTAGAATGCTTAGGAAAAACAAAGTGTCTATTCACTCAAAAATTGAAAAAAAAAGGGCCAGGGATTTAGCTCAAGTGGTTCCACCGCCTGCCCCACAAGCGCAAGGATCCAAGTTTGATTCCTGGTACAAAAGAAAAAAAAATTGAAAAAAATACTTTAAGCTAAAAAATGTTAGTTTTAAATGATATTTTTAACTTTAAAAATGTTTCATGTAATTTTCCCTTTGAATTAAAAAACCCATAAGTTATTCTCCAAAGATTAATGAAATTTGTGGAGCAGGCCTGTTTTCTATATCACTTAAGTTTACCTGTGAATATTTGCCTAAAGTGCTGAAGGATATCTAAGTCAACTCCATTTAGTGTCAGATTCAGTTCCTAAAGTCAGGTCTGTGTTCAATGCTCCTTTTAGTAAATGCTCATTTTAATTTAAAGAGGCCAAATCACTGGAAAAACAGATGGAATTTAGGCACATAACTAACTCATTTGAGATAAAGAAGAAGACAGGATAGACTGGAGATTGCCTATAATTCAAGGAACTAGTCATTGGAGGTGTGTAGGGGCAGAAGTGGTTACACACAGTAAAAACAAAACTCCTGAGGAAAGAAATCTGTCTTCTATTTTAAGATGATTATTTGATTATTGCTTGGACTTTGGATAAATTCAGGTAAAAAAAATTTACCTGAATTTATAACTGGGTGTGATGGTGCAGGCCTATAATTCCAGCTACTCTGAAGGCTGAGGTGGGAGAGAGGATCCCTTGAACCCAGGAGTACAAAACCCCTTTTTTTTAACACCTCATTTTTTAAAACAATTTTTTAAACTTCATAGACTAGCAAAGTTTGACTTAAATATTGCAGATAAACCTGGAAACACCACTTCCAGGTGATCTCTTAAGATTATTCTGAAATAAAAGCTAGAAAAAGAAGAATTTTGCTCTTACCTTGCACCAGCTCACATTAACTGGATATAACATTGATGAATTCTGTTAAGACATTAGTTCCTACTTAGAAAAACTCATTGTGGTGGGCATGTTCAGAGATCAAGTTTAGAGGTTTGCTAAAATTAAGTACATTGTTAAGTTATTGGTGCTGATCATATCTGAAGCACAGGTGGGAATGGAAGATTTGGGGCTGGGGGAGAGAGACTAAACATTGAAGTATCCCACACTTTCAGTTGACTCATTGGAAGGAAAAGAATCATAAAGCTGAAAAACTTTCTTATTTCTCAGAAAAATCCATGTGGATCGCTGGGAGATGAGGCTTATAGAAGTTGTAACCACTCATGAGAAGTGTCCACAGCTGTTAAACATGGACTACATCACCTCTGCTGTCATTGGTGCTTTAGGCTTTTCAGGCATGAGATTTTTTTCCTCAGTTCTCAAAACTTAAGAAACACACATTGTCAGAAGAATGAAGAGAGAAACCTGAATGAGTTATCATTTAACATGAATGTTAATTCACTTCTGGGGCTGGGGACATAGTTCAATGGTAGAGTGCTTGTCTAGCATACAACAGGCCCTGGGTTCAGTTCAAATCCCAGTACTGCAAAAAACAAAACAAAACTCCAGTTATTTACTTACTGTGTATCATCTGGAATATACTGTATAGTCAAACTGAAAGGATTCTTTTAATATCAAACTCATTGTGTCTTTTCTCAAAGCTCTTCTTTGGTAATAAGGCAACACTTTCTTTGTACATACATATGTACTTTCTCCCTAATCCCTGTACAGAGAGGGAAGTAAATGAAGTCACTATTCTTTACAACTTTTGGAGCATACTTAAATATTTCTTCTTTGGATGGTTGGGGTTCCTGTAAGCTTGTAATATGTTACTACCCCAGTGGAGTCTCCTAAGGGCTTAAAATGCAGCTGAGGGATAACTGAATATGATTTGAAAAAATAGGAACATTTCAGAAGTCAATGACTATTTACTTTAGTCGATGGCCTAGTACAGGGTTTGAGAAACTGTTTTTGTAGAAGGCCAAAGAGTAAATGTGTTACACTTTGCAGGCAGTAGATATATATAGTCTTATCACAGCTGTTCTGCCATTATAGTACAAAAGCAGCCACAGACAATCCGTACCACTGAGCATGATTGTGCTCCAATAAAACTTTATGTTTGTAATCTTCACATGCCATGAAATAATTCTTTGGATATTTTCAGCCATTTAAAAATATAAAAATTACTCCCAGCTTATAAGCTATAACTCCATTGGGCTGCAGGGTAGATTGCCAACCCCTGGTCTAGCAGTAGAAAGCATTAGAACCTGAAAATAATGGTGTCATACATAAGTTTTGTCTTTTGTTGTTTAATAAAGATGCATCAAACTGTACCCCTCAGGCATGGAAGGCAAATAAAATTAAAAATTGGATGCCATACAAATGCCAGCAGTATCTAACACATGCTCATTGGAATGACAACACTTTCAGCTAACTTTCTGCTGTGGTGGTTGTAAATACTGTAACTTACCTCTGGAACATCTTTTTCTAAAAGGAAGCTGAGGGTTTTCTTAGGATATTACAAGAAGAGAGAGAGAGTATACACATTTTGTCTAAGTATTTCCCTGTGTTCTTTCCATTGATTTATTCCTGACAGGGCTGATACCTTTTCATAACTTCATTTCATCTTGGATTCAGTCTATTTTGTAAGTTGTTGTTTTGCTTTGGCAGAGAAAACCAAATGGACAGAAGCACTCATGATTTACTAGGACAGTTAGAGCCTAGAAACCTCACAAGTGAAATTAATACGATTTTCTTGTTTTTCTTTTTCTGAAATGTGACTCATTTCATTTATAGGCAAAGCCAATGCATTAAATATTAGTAATCGAGAAAAATAAAATGTACACTTTTTTGTATAATTAATTTGAAGATAATGTTGCTCTCAAATATAAAATGAACTAATTGTTTTCAGCTAGTTTGTAGCTACTAATATGTCTACCATTTGCTTTCTTTTACAATTTCAGGTGGAAAAACCTTGCAGTGGTGGTCAAGATTTGCTTCTTTATCCAGCTAAGAGAAAGCAGCCTATGAGAAGTGAACTGGACACTCAGAAAGTGCTTCCATTCCCTCTACCTGCTTCCAAACAAATATCACCATCGAAAGGGAGTTCAGCCACTGTGCCAGGAGAAATCAAAGAGAAAGTGGCAGAGTTGCTGATGAAGTACTCTGGTGGCCTTTGGGCTAGTGCACTCCCCAAAGCATTTGAAGACATGTATGAAGTAAAATTCCCTGAGGATGTTTTAAAAAATCTTGCCGCACTGTCTGATGTATGTACCATAGATTACATTTCTGGAAATTCCCAGAAGGCTATTCTCTATGCTAAACTTCCGTTGCCCACTCACAAGAGCCTAAAAGATGAAGGACATGCACAGGAAAATAATGACATCAAGTCAATGATTGAACAAAAATACTTACAGATAGAAAAAAACATTGCCGAAAGCACTGAAACCTTTATGGAGGACATAACGGTTCCTCCTCTAGTCATTCCAACCGAGTCATCCCCATCTGTATTGGTGGTTGAATTGAGCAACACAAATGAAGTGGTTGTCAGGCAAGTATCATTGTCTAATCTGTTAGGATGCAGGTATGCTTTTACTACTTGACTGTTCATCACATGGATGCTGGGGCTTGAAGGATGACTAATGTATTCTTGGTTTTAATGAGTTATGGTGAAGTTAATAATATAGTAATATATGGTTAAATGTTTAAAATGTGCAACTTTTTATGGGGAAAATGACAGCTTTAAAAATTGAAATGATAATATTAAATCTATGTCAAAGGCATCATGGTAACTGTATATCAAAAGCAATACCTATAGAAAAAGCAAGGCCCCCACATACTAGGGGTAATAATACTGAGTTTGGGATTATGTAACATTTCCTAAGTCAGAATAGCAAAGAACCCCATCATTATGTAGGACCTCAGATTAGCCCTTGGACCCGGAGATGGTCTTGTGACTTGAGCCTTATGATATCATTGCCTAGGGAGAGTCATTGCCTACTATAACTGGAATGAAAAAAATCATTTGAGCTTCAGGCACTTGACTTGAGCTTTTGGATAAACTACAGAATACCTAAAAAATACAGGAGGAGTATAATTTGCTATTAGCTGCTCTGGAAAAAGAATGGTAGCCTATGTAGCCAAAGCTATGGAGCTCCAACCAGGGTATGACTTTGGCTGGACAGATGAGGAAAAAACGGGTGCCAAACAGAATCTAGGCTCCTTAAAACAAGATTACCCCATGGTTTGGGCTGTTGGACACCCATAGCTGAGCTGGAAAGGCCCAGAGGAAGACTTTTAAAAAAATAATCAAAATCCTTCAGTGAAAGAAGAGCTTTAAACTCTTGGATTTGAACAGTCTTGAGTCTGAGTGTATAATGAAGTGAGGCTTAGTTTCTTGGGATGCTCAAAACTAGAAGAAGCTTTAGAGAGGCTTTGTTTTATACAGGGTTACTGAATATATAAAGGTTTATTCTAGGATCTGCTGTGGCCTGAAAATAGAAATAAATTGTTGAGGATTATGGCCTACTAATACATTGAAATAAAATAAAATGTCAAGAAGCATATCACTGATTCCAAACAATGACATCATAAAGAAAACCTAAATCTACTTCCATGACAGAATCCTTTGTATCTGTTACCAGTAATTATTGGTGCTATTGTAAGAGACTAAGCACCGAGCACTGTGCTGGGTCAGTCGTGATTTCTGAGTCTCTTACTAAGGAGGGCTGGCAGAAATGTAGATTGTTCTAGGACATTAGTAGCAAGGTATGAAACTATTCCAAGATGATCAGGTCCAGGGTCTTCAGATTCTTTAGACACCTTTTTCCATGTTCAACAGGGTGGCTGACAAACAGTGAAATGGTAGGTAACATCTGCCATTAGGTTAACTCTACATTGACTATAGCGATTTGCCAGACAGACCCCTGTCACATTGAGCTCTATTCCATACACTGTTCTTCACCCAGGCAAGCAGTAAGTAGGCCCTGGAAGGTGGGCTTCTGGCTCAACCTGAGGGTCCCCAAGGACTGCTGTGGCAGAACCCTCAGATAAAATATGGGAATCTATCATTTTCAGTCTCAAAACTTAACTTCGTAAGACTTTGTATCTGTGACATACATAATTGACCTGTACAGCATTCTTTCCCTTCTTGCTCAGGTAATTTGTTAACCACTACAACCCCATTCTTGCTACTTCCCACTTTCATTCCAGCTGTAACAGCATCCCCTATCTTCACCAAGCCCTGTAGCCATTCTTCTCTACTGGCTGCTAGAAGGAGTGAAACCACCTGTAGCTCCACATGCTTCTCTCCATCTTCCTCCTTGTAAGACTGTATGCCAGGGAACCACCATATCGGGCTGCAACCCAGCCTCTCCAGTTGAGCTCCAAGGGCTCGCACCGCTCTACAGGGAAGCCAAGACTCCAAGCCCCAGGAAATAGGCACATAGGGCCAGCTGCAGACCTCCGAGGGAGCTTCAAAGCCCAGAGTGCAATGCATTCCAGGCAGTGCCTTAACATTCGCAAAGATCAGTAAATTTAAATGGATAGAGCATGGCAAAGCATCTTGAACTGTTTTTAGAGTGAATACTATATGTATAATATTTCCTATAGAGTAGCCATTGCCTCAAAAGAGGTATCCTTTCATTTTATTGAAGACTTTTTTTTTTTTGAAGGGGTACTGGGGATTGAACTCTGGACCTTACACTTGCAAGGCAGGTGGCAGAATCACTGAGCTAAATCCCCAGCCCTATTGAGGACTTTCTTTGCAGCTTTTTCTTTCTAGTTAAAAATGGATTGGCTATGGCATCTTCTTCCCTGCTGATGGTTACAAAGAACACATGAAAACACACCTACAGGAATACACAGTTTCTTATTGCTTGTGGCCCTGTGTAAAAAAAAAACCTGAAACAAAGAAAAATGCTGTGGGTACCCTCTCCTCTGTTTCTAACTTTAGACTACATCTTATGGCCAAGACCACTTCTGTTTCATGACCCAAATTTGACTTGCCATGTTTTACATCCTGGAAGGAGGCCCTTTATGAGGGCAAGAAAACAACTGCTTGTTTGTGGCATAAAAGAAAATAGTATGTCTTGATGACGTGAACTGAGATAAGCTGACTGGAATTGTCAACAATAGGCAGTTGTAGAAAGGGCTGGGACATGTCTAAAATAATACTTCTCAGAAAACATGCATTTTAGTATATGTGCTGCCAAAGCAAGCACAGAAAACATACATTTTAGAGACATTCTAAACATGACATGTTCTAGACAGCTAGAACCCCTTTTGAAAGCATCAGAATTCAACACTTTATTGTAATTTGTTCAGCAACTTGGGTGGGTTTGGGGGATTTGTCACATTGTTGATGTTGTGTTTAGTGTGTTCAAGGTGTGTGTGTGTATGTGTGTGTGTGTGTGTGTGTGTGTGTGGTGCTGGGGGTCAAATGCAAGCCTTGGTGCATACTAGGCACATGCTCTACAACTAAGCCACAGTCCTGGTCCTAGGCTTTGTATTTTTCTCTAGTTAAGTTTCATTGTTTAAAGGGTTTGAGGTTTGCTCAGAATCAGCCTCAGAGCAAAACTCTGCTAGATTCTCTTCTCAGTAATCCAGATCGCCAGCAATTTTAGTCAAGATCTTACGGCAGCCCTTGCTTACCTGACCCTCTGAGTCTCTTCCTGCCTCTTCCTCGCTGTCCTGCTTGAGTCTTTCTCAGCCTCATCTTCCCTAAGGCCTCCTTCACTGCTCACTGCCAAGCTCTGTAGTGTGCTAGGTTGTCATCAAGCGTTTGCCCCATCGCGTGGTGCATTAGACCTCAGCCTTGTTTTACATGATCTCTACGTAACACTCTCTTCCTTTATCAGGAGATAAAGTATGAGCAAATTCAAGGCTGGAACCAAAGATGACAGTAGGGAAAACAGAGCAACACTAATACATTCCTGTGCTTTTTCTCTTCCTAAGATGCTTCATTTGTGTTCTCTGCCTTTAATTGACCCAGGTATGTGGGCAAAGACTACTCTGCCGCTCAAGAATTAATGGAAGATGAGATGAAGGAGTTCTACAGTAAAAGCCCCATGGTTGCACCAGTCCAGGCTGTGCTCGTTGGGCAGCTGCTAGCTGTAAATGCTGAGGAGGATGCTTGGTTACGTGCACAGGTCATCTCTGCAGAAGAGAACAAGATAAAGGCAAGTAGTAGTGACTTTGTCATAGCATTACGAAGACACACACTTTATTATTTGTTAAATGTAAATATTGTTTCCCATATTGTGTCCTTTTAAATTGTAAGTAGTTTTCTCTAGAAGTTGTAAATTATCCTGTCACCTGTTAAGTCAGTGGTAGTCATGTTACCATAGTGTTTTAGTAAAACAAACAGCTTCTCCGCAGTAGTATGCAGAAGCCATGTTCTCAGCAGAATGAGGCTTTCCCTCCTACTCCCCATACTGACCAGCTGTGTGGGCAGTTAGCTCAAAGCAGCGCTTCAAGTAAAGGAAGCTGCACAGTCAGAAAGCTGCTATTCTTCCTCTGCCTGTGTCAGCCAGTGCTCAGGCCATTCTCCAGGGGCAGCTTCCAGGCTCACCTTTCAGTCCTCTTGGAATTGTTGCAGGGTTTCTTCACCACCCTACTGCACCAGCTGGACCTCCAAGACCTGACCACATCCCCACATCAGCCTTGACCCCTTGCCTCTTCTCACACTCTATGCAGAGCCCAGGAAACAGGATTCTTGTTGGAGAATCTTGTTGGATTCTTCCATGCAGTGTGCAGAAGAGCAGTGAATGTGATTCTGTCTACTCTGTGGTCATCAGTATCTGCCTACTATTTTGCCATGTCACATCTTCCTTTATTGGTGAAAGATTTATGTTTATTTGGAAATTGCCTTGTGAATAATAGGCCTGCCACCTGAATGTTTGAGGCAGGGGGACAGCTGTTTTATGAAGAATTTGCGGGGAAAAGATCTTTTCTTTCTAGATTGCTAAGATGTTTCTTTTCACTAAGGATAAATGCACTTCAAGACTTCTGTATATTGCCAGCCTTGTTAAGTTAATGCCCCTTGCCACAGTAGTGCCCCTCACTACACAGTTTCAGAGTCTTTTCTGCTTCTATGGAGGACTCCAGCTGTTCAGGGAATCATTTCCACAGTACTTTGGGTTCTCTCAGTTTGCAAGCAAGAATGTATACTTCTGTTTCTGCAGTCACTGTTGTACAACACAAAACCCACTACCATGTGGCACTGTTAGCCACGGGCCATATGAGTGCCACAGAGTGCAGATAACCCACCCCTGAACTCAGCTTTCAGTTACTCTTCACCAAAACCCATCCCCTGTGCACTGTCAGGAGGGCGGGGAAGAAGCTTGGTGCTTCTTTACCAGTTTGTTCAGTACTTTAAAGAGGCTGTGATCCTGTCCAGAATTAATAGCACCCAGCCACCTTTCCCATTCACAGAGAAATTTAGGAAATTCCTTATCCTAATATGTAGAGACATAACTTTTAAGAAATTTGATTGATGAAAAATCTGAACGTTGAAACACAGTCTGGCAATTAAACACTTATCATGTGACCCCTAAGTATTTACACATGAGAAATGAAAATATAGGTCCGCAAAACACTTGTACATACATGTTTGCAGCAGTTTTATCAGTAATAACCCCAAACTAAAAATAGCCCAGGTGTTCACCAACAGGGAAATGCATAAATAAATTATAGTTAATTCATATAATGAAATACTATTCAACTATCAACGTGGATAAGTCTTGAAGACTTTGTGCTAAACAAAAAAGAAACCAGTCACAAAAGAGTAATGTTATATGAGCCAGGATAAGTGGTGTCTGAGAACAGTTAAATTTCATAGCAGTGATAAAATCAGAGCATTGGTTACCTGGTATAAGAAGTAGAGGGTGGCTAGTTACAAAGGCAAGAAGGGAACTTGTGGAGGTGGTGGAAATGGTCTGTTTTGATTATGGTGGTGATTATAGGTTGTATATGCTGGTCAGAACCCATCAAGCTACATACTTTAAATGGCTCTCTTTTCTTCGTTGTAGACTGTACCCAGATAAAATTTGAAAAACATTCTCAAAAGAAGCTAAGGACCAATGTGGTCACTGGACCAGTGGATCACAGGGCTTTTGTTTGTGGTGTAGGCACTCACTGCCTGTATTTGTTTGCCCTTGGTCAAGTTCCTCTATTCTTCTTGGCCTCTGGTTGATAGGTGATAACTCCCCAAATATCCCTAGATACACAGATAGTTCTGGTCATTTCTCTTCTCCTGACCCTAGGAGATTCAACGAACACTAAGCTTTTTTAAGGCATAGGGATTTCTCATGAAGAAAATTCTATATAAGTCCTAGTGACACATTAGCACTGTAGTGCTGTTTACAGTAAACAGTGCAGATACTCCATAAGGACAGACCCTAATGTGCACTCTTTATTGCTGTTGAGAGTTATGGACTCTTAGAAATAAGAAAAGTAGCTCAGTATTTTGTATACAGTGTGCTCTTGAGATAGCAGTGCTTATAGCAAGCCTGCCCTCTTCTTGTTTCCCACATCCCTGTGGAGCTGACAGAGATGTCTCCCTTTATTTGAAGAAGCCCCAGTTACTTAGCACCAGCCTTGTTTTTCATGAGCTGAAATCTGCCTGGCAGCAGGTACCAACCAGTCCCCTCCTTGCTTCCATCTGTGAGGTCATTGGCAGGTAGGAGAAACAGGAGCATGTGGGGGCACCCTGAGGCTGGTGCCTGTTGGCCTAGCCAGACTAATCCTGAGTCCATGCTGTTACTTAGGTAGTACTGTGAGACCTGTGGCCACTTGATGGTGCCAGAGAACCAGGAATGGGCAGGTACTGGACACCTGGATTCTAAGCGTACTAGTGCTGATCCCAGTGCACTAAAGAGAGCAGAGTACACAGGGTGGGGTGTGGCAAGCCATCCAGGGATAAGTGTTTTTTATAAAATGTTACTGTCATACAAATACATGGTGTTGTGATTAAAAACAAGAAAGAAAAGAAAGAATCAAGCTACAGACATTACAGAAAATCTTTAAAGACTTTGGAGCAGGTATTCTGTTGTCTGTGGCTGCATTCAGAATACATTGGGATCTCACGTTCTGTCCTGTTGTCAGGCTGTGTCATCTCCATTTAAATGGGGAAGAGCAGAATCCAGGCTGTAGGTGGCGGTAGCTATTAAAGGACATAAAAGCTGCCTGACTTCTCAATCCTGTGAGGAGGGAGAGCAGGTTCTGATTCAGAATGGGAGAAATGAACTGGTGCACTTAATGTCTGGCCACCTGTTGTGGGCACGATGCCAGTGATCTAGGCCCTAGTGTTGAGTCAAATGTGATTTGAGGCCTCCAAGAAGGGACTTTTCCCATAGAAGGAAACAGTTTTCCTGCAGCCCACTTATCACATAAATGATCAGTGAAAGAGTTGGTGGCTTCTCTACCTCTTTCTCCTTAGACTTTCTGCTTGGAGCTTTGCATATTTAGTATCACAGTCTAAGTGCCCTGGAGGTGATATGTGCATTTTGCATTCCTGCAAAAGGTGGAAGGGAAGGGACCTGCCTCTTTTTACCTGGTATGTCTTAGCCAAGCCTCTGCCCTGGTTGTCATTTTTTAAACCATCTGCTTTAATTAAAGCATACTAAATTTTCAACACTTCAGATTCTTAGTTATTCTAAACCACAACTTAGTGTTTTTATTTTTTTTAAAGGGTTTGTGTTTATATAGTCCTTATCTAAAAATAATGCCCGGGTTCTTAATGATCTGTGCCAATGGCAAGGAAGAGATATGTGGATTAAAAAACTGTCCAATAGATTTGGGACGTTTTGCTAAGGGCTTGGCCTAACTTTTCACCCTTGAAACAAACAGAAGTACCAATTGAAACAAACAGGGGTATCTATTTTTTTAGTGTAGAATTTCAAATTGTCTGGCCACGATGTCACTGTTGTCACCAAAAGAAGCTTCTCAGCCTGTGGAGGCACAGTGGCTAAGAGCAGACCATCACAAATGCTGCTTTGGGATTAAATTCTGATCAGTACCATAAGAGTGATGCCTCTCTGGAAACAGCTACTACTACCCAAGGCATAATGAGTGTGTAACTTAAGGAAGAAAAGGTGATGCTGGCCTTGGAACATTAAAGAGGGTTGGGAAGGAGAGTTGACAGAACCAGGTAGGTGTGCTGCTGAAAAACTGGCAGCAGCAAGGCCTCTGTTTTGACCTCATTTTTCATAACAATAAAGAGGCAAGGGAGTGGACTGGGCCTGGAGCCAGGAGCCCTGGTTTCCTAGTCCCAGGTCCAGACTTTTGCTTTGGGACACGTTAGGATATATTACTTCCCCTGGCTTTGTGCAGGCAGCTGTGGTGCCACTTAACATTCTGACTATGGAATTAAATGGAGACAGTTACATGTATCAAATAAATGATTTTTTAAAGTGAGGATAAAGAACTTCAGCCTGAACTTTTTTTTAAATCACTAGGTATCCTATGTTGACTACGGTTTTAGTGAAATTGTTGAAAAGAGCAAAGCATACAAATTGAACCCAAAATTCTGGTCACTCTCATTCCAAGCTACTAAGTGTAAACTAGCAGGTAAGAGAAACTTAAAATGTAAAAAAAGTGTTTCTATTTTAATAGGTTATCACCTCTGTATTTTTGGATGGTTGTGTTCTGAAATGGCCCTGGTATCTCAAGGTGCTAAAATGTGTTATTTCTTGAAAGATTTAAATGAATTCATATTTAATGTTCTCTGTATAAGATGTAATCATTATAAATATATTATATTGTTATATTTTATTGTATGTAGTACATTGTATTATGTTTTATAAAAACGTCTGATGGCTATCTGAACAAGTTTTTAAAAAATTATCCTCAGTACCCTAGTAACAATCAGTAGAGGCCCTCTACCATGGGATTTGATCATTTTCAATCCTATTCCCCCACATGAGGTGACTTTCACCCCTTTCCCACTGAGACAGATAGTAGATATCTACACCATTAGCACACCCTCCTGTGCCCGGGCTGAGTTTGCCTGTAGGTCTTGTGTGGGTTCTTGCACTGTATTTTTTTTTAAGTCACTCTTCTTTTTTTTCTGCCTTATGGGAGCATAGAGGATCAGACGTGTGTGAGTGATTGAAGGAATAAACTTCAGATATGGAGGACAGTGGTCAGATTAGTGGAAATATGCATTATTCCTTGGAGGGCTTGTGCTAAATTCAGAAAGTGATCATAATTCCTAGGTGAAGATGTAGAAATGCGTCTGAAGAAATAAATGCCCCCTCAGAGCAAAGATAAATGCTTATGCCATTGGAGCTGGAGCTAACCCTGAGCTGAACTGGAAGTGGGTCTAAGAGCCTGTTAGAAACCTGTGGGAGCTGGTTTTAAAAGAAACAGATCAACAGCACAGGACAAGATTTAGGATGCTGAAATGAAAAGTTTGAGGAAGACTACAAAGTTATGTGTCTGGAGAACAGGACATGAGAATGGCCACTCTGGAGGAGTCTGTAAATTTTAGCTTGTGTCTATAAAGGAAGAGAATAAAGAAGTAGGCATTAAGTATCATTGGGGGAAATAGTGAGGTGGTTTTAATTAGTGTAATAGATTAACTTAGTTGTCATATACATGATATATAGAATTTAAATTTTTAGAGAACTGAAAGAATAATTGGACTAAAACAAAATTCACCTAATACTATGTTATGTTAAACAGTAACGTTTCTTTGATCAGAAGATTTTCTGGTGTCTTCAGGGCTGTAATGATGTATAGGAAGGAAGGAGGCAAGGAAAAATATGGAAGTCTCAATTTCCATTACATGCATATTCATTTTATGAGAGGCAAATAATTGTATATATTTAATTAGAAAATTTAAAAATCAAAGTTAGAATTTTAGAAAGATACTAAAATAAATGACTGGCAGACATGATTAGTAGTTATTTTTATATGTATTAGTTTGTTTAAAATGTGTGTTTGTATATAAAGTGAAGGCTATTTTTTCTAAGGTAGAAATTCTGATTATCAGTTTTTCTTCTTCTTTTAAGATTTTTCTGCCTGTCATTCAAGGGACATTCACATCGTACTTTTAAAAACCCATAGATAAATAAGGTAAAGAAGATTATAAAACAAAGCTTCCATATAAAATTTTCTGTGGTAGATTCATAATTTTTGTTTGTTTGTTTGGTTTTGGTACTGGGGATCGAACTCGGGTACTTGCGCTTGAGCAGCAGGTGGCGGAACCACTGAGCTAAATCCCTGGCCCGTTAGATTCATAATTTTAATAAGTGGTCAAAAGATACAGTCAAGCCACCCATCTTATGATAATTCTGTTAAGAGGTAGAAAATAAAATATTCACTATTTTTTAGGGTTGGAGATTCTCAGTGATGATCCTAATCTAGTGAAAGTGGTTGAATCTCTAACTTGTGGGAAGATCTTTGCGGTGGAAATACTTGACAAGGCAGATATTCCACTTGTTGTTCTGTACGATACTTCAGGAGATGATGATATCAATATCAATGCCACCTGCCTGAAGGCCATGCATGACAAGTCACTAGAGGTTCATCTCCAGGTACCCTGTGATCTCCCTTGTCATCTCTCATATCATATGAAAGAAAATCAGCAGAAAGAATACTATGTACTTTAGACTAATAGTTGATATAGACATTACATAAATACTGAAAAAAAAGGGGAACTGGAAGAAGAAAATTGGGGTGTTTTTTTGTTTGTTTTTTGTTTTTCAGTACTGGGGATCAAACTCAGGACCTTGCACTTGCAAGCCAGGTGTGGCACCACTGAGCTAAATCCCCAGCCCCCAAGAAGAAAATGTTAATAGTAATCATTTCTTAGAAATTGAATTTTTTTATTTTCCAGTTTTTACATTGAGTGTTATATTAAAATAATAGGAAATTACTCTACAAAGATAATAAAGGAAAACAGCATAAGAGAAGGAAAATTTAAATCCATGAAGATATTTATGATTAGTTTTAATATTTTTAAAATGTTTAGGACACAAAAGAGGGAACTTTTAGAAAAGCTTTTTTTTTTTTTGGTACTAGGGATCAAACTCGTGACCTTGTGCTTGTGAGGCAGGCAGCGGAACCACTGAGCTGAATCTCCGGCCCTGGAAACTTTTAAATAAGTTAAAGAACATTCATCCTAAACAGCAGGATGAAATGTTTAAATGATCATTTTAAAGACTTCATTAAAACATTAGGAAAAATAGTCGTAATGAGTAGAACAGCTGTAAGTTGTCTTTATAGCATGAATTGACTTGCTAAAATTAAATCTATACTTTTGATTATAGTTTTTAAAAATTGCTGAAATTCACATTGTCAGTGAACAGAGGGTAGAAAGCAGCTGGTAATGGAAGTGATTTTGTAAGAATTCTTTATTTTCACTTCCGTTAATGTCGCAAAAACAGGTTTGGGATAATTTTTATTCTAAATAAAAGGAAAGAGAATAAGCCAAAATGAGAGAGACATTTTTAGTCTTTCAGACAATAGAATATAGTAATATATACAAAATGTCTCTTTTGTGCCTGACCCAAATGGTTGTGTTAAATGTAATTTTTTACACTTACATTAGGAATTTCATTCTTTGCAGCTCTCCACTAACTTAGCCAATATTCAGATGCAGACTTAATGGGATATTTAGGTAAATATCCCTTACAGACTTTAGACTACCATTCTGTTCTCAAGCATTCTTGTATTCTTTGCTTTTTCCAGGTCAATGCCACGTACACAAATGTCAAAGTGACAAATATTTGCTCTGATGGAACACTCTTCTGCCAGGTGCCTTGTAAGGGTCTGAACAAGCTCAAGGACCTTCTGCATAAGATAGAGGATTACTTCTACCGCAAGGTATGGCAGAACACCATCCCTCTTTTACAAACAAGAATAGCTCACTAAATTGCATAAGTATGAATAATTGTAATAGTTTGAGGTAGAATCTCTAGAATGATAGGTAGTCACCCCAGACTTTAGAGCTTTGAGAAGAAGAGGTGGGAAAAAGTCTACCAGTTTCTGCATTGTGAAATGAAGATGATAACAGTGTGCTCCAATAGGATTGTCACAGGATAGTTGCAGTACTGCTCAGCACAGTACCTGGATATAATAAGTGCTTATCAATTGATAGATTTGTTATTTATAATATGCAGTTGATTAGTCATCAGGGCAGCTGCCTGTCACTGTCTCCTTGAGCCACCCGGCTCTGCTGTCAGGAGAAGAGAAAACCTGGAATTTAGGAGGATAATAAAACTCTCCTTAACTCTGCCCTCATCTCCCTTAGTCATAGCTCCCCAGGCTTCTTCTGAACCATGAAAACCTGGTTCTGGGAAATACAGTTTGGCAGTTTAAATTCTATTAATGAGCTCCTTACACTTTGATTCTTATTTGTGTGTTTGTTTTTCTGAATCAGGACCTGTAGAAGTTTTAAGATTCTAAAGTGGTTTCCTTACCAATAAGGGACACTGTAATCATCTAAAATAAAGCTCTAGTATCCAAGTCACTAAATCTTACTGCCATGTCAGCCCTGAACCTCTTGCCCCTGCAAGTGAAGCCTCTCTCTAACCTACACGGTACTTCAGACACCTCAGGATACCCTCTTAAGCTTTGTACTTCAGCTACTTGGATATTTATTTACCTTAATAGAATGTAGGTGGCTCCACTTCCCCCTCCCCCTCTCTACCTCCTCCCTCCTTTTCCCCTTCTCCTTTGTGTGTTGGCAAGGTGGAGGAGTACTGAGGATTGAACCAAGCACCTTGATACTGAGCTACGTCCCCAGTCCTCCTTTGCAGTTTTTCGAGACAAGGTCTTACTAAGTTGTCCAGACTATGCTTGAACTTAGAGTCCTCCTGTCTCAGCTACCTAGAGTACTGGGATTACAGGCATGTGCTAACATTGCTAATTTGAGTATAGATTTTTTGAAGACAAAGACTTTGCCTTGCCAGTTTTCTTATAGCACCTAATCCAATATCATATCTAGAGTAGGTATTCCAAAGTATTTGCTGGATCAGGTTGAACCTGTAGTCAGTCTACTATCTGGAATTGAAATATTAGATCTGTAGTGTTAACTCTTTTTCTGATTGAATATATATGTGTGTGTATATGATATATAATATTAGACAACCTTGATATATGTGTGTATGTATGTATATATATCACATACTTAATTTTCTAGGCCATCTTGGAGAAGTTTGAGACCCCTAAAGAGCCTGACAGGTGGTTCATGTACATGGATGTCCTTATAACCTATGGTGGTGACAAGCACTGTTGATATTTCCTAGTGCTCTGGTAACCCATTTGGTGACATTGCCTTTGGGGAGAGCAGAAACTCTCACCCAAAGAAAAAGAGATACAGGCATGTCCCCACCTTCAGGCTATGACAGGAGAGGCAGAGGAGGACACCAACAACTGTGATTGTTGTCATTTATACTTGCGTTGATAACATTTCTTTTGTTTTGGAATGAAAATCTTATCTTTGAATCCAAATGTTAGAAAGTGGAAAGAAGAGCTCTTCTGGACAGCTAGTCCACCCTCTTCACTCTTCATCCATCCACCTCTAACTTTTTGTCAGATCAAAATCCCTATTCATATGTAACTGATGGAGCCAAAACCTAAATTGATCACTGACTTCTGCTAACATTTTTTGTTTGTTTGCTCTTGGTACGGGGATCAACTCAGGACCTTGTGCTTTCAAAGCAGGCACGGTGCCACTGAGCTAAATCCCTGGCCCTTCTGCTAACATTTTAACAGGGCTGATTTGTGAGCCTGTACAATAGGGTAGAGTAAATCACTGACTTTGGCAGCACCCCTCCTGTGTTTACTGCCTCCACTGTAGCTCCCCCTTTGGCTCATGGGAAGTCTGTTTACATGTGTGTGAACAGTCTGCCTGTGCTTCAGATGTCTGGTTCTAATGGTGTAGCCATATACTCTTTGTTAAGAGTTATAAACATATCTTACATTTCTTTTTTACAGCATGTGACCTCTGAGTACTTCATTTCATTACCCTTCTGTGGGAAAATTTGCCTCTTCCATTGCAAAGGAAAATGGTTACGAGTAGAGGTAAAAATCAGTAACTTAACTTTTTAAAACTAATTATGAAATATTTAAAACATACAGGATTTTAAAAGATGGAATAAACATTCACGGACTCATCACCAGTTTATAGAAGAAAAAATATCACCAATATGGTTGAGCGCCCTATGTGCCTTCCATTTTCTCTTGCCAGCACCCCTGAGTTTGGTGTTTCTCATTCCTATTCATTTCTTTAGACTTTTAATGTTTGTACACATTCTTTTACTATATGTTTTAATATATAGATAGAACTAAAGTTAAAATTTTCATTTATAATATGTATAGTAAAAATGAATATGACTAAATGAATATTTTTAAAATTTATGTAAATAGTAAAATGTATTTATTTTTCTGAAACATGCTTTTTTACTCATTATGTTGATTTATGCAGCTCTAGTTCATCTATTTTCACTGCTGTATGATATAACAAAACGAATATGTAAACATTACCACACAATATGCAAACATTCTCCTGATGATGACCATTTATTTATTTATTTTTTCCCATTAAGTTTATTGGTACATTTTAGGTATAAAATACAGTTACATTCATCATTGGGATCTTGTACCATTACATGAGTATCTTGGT